CTAAATAAGGTATTTCCCTAATTATCCTAAAAAAAATTTGCAATCGTAGGATTTTTGCATATATTGCGTAAAACTTATTTTAGGAATAAAAATTGTTTTTCCACATAAGTTTTGGTTAGTATTTATGTTTCAGTAGTATTTTTTTTCTGTTGGCTAGGTTTCAGTAATCATAGTGCATAAATAGTTATTAGCAATTTTGAATTTAGGGGTAGAGAAGAAATCCAAACCCAAAATTTAAATTGAATCTAACCTTGGAAAAATATGAATTAGAGTAAAATACAATAAATTAAAAAGTTGAATCAAGACAATCAAATAGGTGACAATATACGCACTTTTTAGAATTTCTCTGCCTTAAAATAAAATATAGTTAATAAAATTACATCTCTATATTTAGAGACAAATACTCTGTCTTTCTATAAAAATAAAAAACTATTAAAAAATCATACAATTAAGCAAATTTACATTTATAATACAATTTAACTATTTCAAAAGAACATATACTAATGAATCTGTAGGTGAATTAAAAATTATCTTATTTGTTTAACTAAGGGAAATTGGATCAACATTTTTATCATGTAATTTATAAGTAATGAAACTATTAATAAATTATGCATTTGAATACTACATTAATTCTTGTAGCCACAAACATGTATGTTGTGAAGACCATGTTTTTCAATCCTTATTATCTAAACAACTATTTATGAATAGAATTTACTAACTAAAGTTTTATGGCGATCAAAGCTATAATAAATAATAAATAATAAATAATAAATTATATTAGTGTATGTTGTAATAGAGCTGAAATTACAATCATTAAAAAGTTATTGTAACTTCATTTCTAATATACGAATTTCAATATAGATATATATTGGATTCTCATTTTTCTTTATAATCTTTTCACTCTAGATTCATATTTATAGTAATAACATTTTCAAGAAAAAGAAATATGTAGCTAACCTAAATTATACTTTTTGCATTAAAAAATTAGTTACATAATTAAAGTATATATATATATATAATATTTTTAATAATGGAAAAAGATAAAAATAAATTCCAATTTATGATCTTATGGTTTCTTTTTATAATTTTAGAAAAGGAAAATTACTATACATAATTTTACAGTTATATTTTGATTAGGATTTATTAGTAAATAATAATTTCAGTAAATAAAAAATAGTTTTTTAAAAGTTGAATTTTTCCAATTTGTTTTTTAATATCTCTACATATTTTACGATTTATTTTTGTTAGTTAAACTGGATTTAATATTATGTTTATCATCAACTTCTTAGAAATAAAAATTAATAAGTAATTAAATTATATAGTTATATATCTTTCAGGATTTAGTAAAAATAGAATAAAAATTCTCTTTTGGTTTTAAAAAAGGGAAATTACTTTTTAGATTTTTTTTATTTTTTTTTTGGTTTATGTTTTTTTTTTTAAATGAAAAACTTTTATTAATACATGTTACGATCTTAAATATATAATTGTAATGTGTTTGGATCATGATAATACTTTAAAAAACCAAGTTTGTAATTATCTTAAATCCATGTTTTCAAAAAAATACTATTGTTAAAATTTTATTTATAAAAAAATTATTAAAAATAGAATTTTCTATATCCAGCACTTCTACCTTCTTTATATGTATTCACGTTTGGCTATATTCATCTAAACTTTTACAATTTTCTTTGGTTTAGTATTTTTAACAGGAAAATACTATTAAATATTTATAAAAAAATATTTTGTAAATATTTTAATTTTGTATAGAAATTTATCTAAAAATAATGTTTAGTGTTAATTATCTTAGACCATGTTTTAAAAAAAAGAAATGCTATTTTAAAATTTTTATTTATATAGAAATATTAAAAAAATGTTCTTTGTTTGAGAATTTTTAAAAAGGAAAATTATCTTTTTAGATTATTTTTATATGCTTTTGGTTTAAGTTTTTGTTAAAAGGAAAACTGTTATTTAACCCATATCATAATCCTAAATATATAATTGATATATATCACAGTCATATTAATTAGCAATTTTGAAAAACCAAGCTTGTAATTATCTTAAACCCATGTTTAAAAAAAAAAGAAATACCATTGTTACAATTTTATTTATATGGAAATATTGAAAAACCAAATTTTGTATAAGAATTTTATAAAGGAAAGTTAACTTATTAGATTTTTTTTATATTCTTTTGATTTAATTTTTTAAAAAAATTAAAATTTGTTGTTTAACACATGTCATAATCTTAAGTATATAATTTCCATGTTTCATAATCATCTTAATTAGTAACTTTAAAAAAATACTATTATTAAATAGTATTTATATGGAAAATAATTTTTATAGCTTTTCTTTAAGATTGTTTAAAAAAGGGAAACTAACTTTTTAAAGTTTATGTTTAATTTTTTTTTTAAAAGGTAAAACTAACTATTAAATTCTTTTGGTTTAAGTTTTGAAAACAAATTTTTTTTATTTGACACATGTCATAATCTTAAATATATAATCGCCATGTGTCGTGATTATGTTAATTAGTAACTTTGAAAACCAAACTTTATATAATAAGACTAGATAAGGCCCGTGCGTTGCAACGGATTTTGTTTGATGTTTTAATTTAATAAAAACATAAAATAATAAATAATTTTATTGTAGATTTAGGATTTTATTTTTTCATAAATTGTGTGATATTAATTTTAGAGTTACAAACTCATTAATATAATTAGAATTAGAAAATATATATTTCTAATAATAAAATTAGAATAAATTTTAAGAGGACATGTGGTGTCTTATTACAAACATCTATTTTCTCTTTATTATTTATATACACGATTACATCTATAACAACATTGTGTTATACAATAATGTTGTTTCAAACAAAATTCATTACAACTACCCAATCAATTGATAGAAATATACAATATTCAAAAACCAAATTTATACAAAAAATTGATATAAAATTGTGTTTAATTTAATTAGCATTAAATTGATTTTTCTTTTTAAGCGGGTTTAATCTTTTTATTAAGACAAATACGATTTATTCTTATTTAAAAGATACTTACTCTTTTTTAAAAAAGGATAATTGTTTTTTTGCAATTATTTTTTTCTTGTTTTTTTTCCTTTTAAAGGTTTTTTACAATTACATTATTTTTAAACGATAATCACTATTTTTAAAAGGACAAAAACTATTTTATTTTTTACAATTATCTTTTTGTTATTATTTGAAATAACTAAAATTAGTGTTAAAATTATATAAAAGGATAATTACTATTTTCTAAGGAAACATCTTTTCCTTCTAAGGCTTTTTACAATTACGATTTAATTTTTTTTAAATGATAATTACTATCTTTTTAAAAAGGATAATTACTATTTTTAAATTATTAACTGATTTGTATTTTAATATATGTTGCAATCTAAAATGTATAATCGCCATGTATCGCAATCGTGTTAATTAGTAACTTTGAAGAACCAAATTTTATATAATTAGATACTACAACATATGTTACTAAACTCTAAACCAAAGAATACCATGACTCACTACTTTCATTTATCTATGTTGAATACAATTCAAATTTATTATATATTAATTTATATCACTTACAACTGTATAGTTACATGATTTCAATTTTTATAATATTATAAATTATTTTTAAGATCAATTATACGAGAAAACTTCGAGGGAAGCCTTGTAGACGACTTACAATATCTCAGAAGACTCAGAAGATTTTTCGGGGTTATAACGTAAAAACAAATTCAGATTTTTTTTGTTTGGCCATAAGGGGCTGGTTATAATTTCACTAGTTTTTTTTAGTTACTTTTGGATTTGATTCAAATTTGAGTATATTTTTGCATTTAAAATCAAGTTTTAAGTCATATTTGATAAATTTCTCTTAAAAGCATTATAAATAGTCACAACTTATAAAACATAACCAAAATAACAATACTCAATAAATATCATATGTTATTTAAAAATTAGATTCTAAGAATCATGAGACAACAATCAAAAATAATAAATTACAAAACATTACCTCTGTATTCTTTTAGGTTATATTATATAATGTTTACTATTTGTTAATTTATTTTATGTTATTTAATTTTTATCCTAGTTTTTCATGCTAACATATATTTTAATTCAGTTAATTTTTATTTGTTAATTATATATTATTTGGTGTTAATTTATTATTTTGATAATATTTGTAATTTTAAAAATCAAAAACTAATTTTCTGTTAGTTATTTTTAAATACAAATTATTTTCTAAGTTAAGAATATGATTATTTAATATTTAAATATATGAAATATTTAGGATAAATATAAAATTAATTATGACATATATTTTCATTGAATTTTTACTTTAATCCTAACTGTAATGTTGTAATAATCTGTATTTGAATTTGCTAAAATATAGACATTAAAATCATACACTAAATATAAAGAGGAACCTATTTAAATTATGTTTTAACTAAAACTAATGATAAAATCGTAGAGAAGGTGATAAATCAGAAAAATCACTTATTAATATATATCTGTTATTAATTATCACAAGTATCACGATAAATAAATAAATATATATATATATATATTATAAGATTTTTAAAAAATAATTATATTACTAAAATTAATAAACTATCCTAAAATTATGGAGAAGATGATACATAAGTAAAATTACTTCTCAAATAATAGTATAGATTTACCCATGTCTTTAAAAATAAAAGCCACGTCAAAGACTTCAGAATTATTGGTATCGTATCATACCAAAGTCAGGTAAATCAATATCTAAAAATTCCAACTTGCTGGTCAAATTTGAAATCTTTGCACATGAATATAGAGAAAAGCAATACTCAATTGGATACTTTGTTTTCAATTCTTTTCTTCCCAAAGTGGAATACCCATTATATTTTCCAAGGTATATTTTGCTTCGTACTTAGCTACCACATACTATTTTTACTTTTACTCTTACTACATAAACCTTCAAAGCCACAACACAATTCACATCATTTCCTATTACTTACACACCCAAAAATGCATAACAAGACTGGCTCTCTAGCGGTCAGATCCGACCCATCAGCCCGACCCATATCTCGTTACCACTCAGCGAGCTACATTGGTCGGGTCAAAGAAAGCCTCACAACAAGAGTCTCCAAATTCATATGTGCTATTTTCTTAACGCTTTTGCTATGTTTAGGCATTGTCTTTTTCATCTTATGGATCAACCTGCGTCCTCACCGACCCCGTGTCCACATCCGTGACTTCTCTCTCCCCGGTTTGGGCAAAAGCGACGGTTTCGAGACCTCTCATATAAGCTTCGAGATAACGGCTCATAACCCAAACCACAAAGTTAGTGTTTACTACGACACCATGGAAGGATCCGTTTACTACAGAGAGAAACGGGTCGGGTCCACTAAACTCACTCACCCATTGTACCAGGACCCAAAGAATACGAGTTTGATCGAAGGAGTCTTACGTGGACCCACAATGGTGGTGAATGAGGACCGATGGAAGCAGATGGGACGAGACAGGAATCAAGGGAAGGTGGTGTTCCGTTTGGAGGTAGTGTCCGTTATACGCTTTAAGGTGTACACTTGGCACAGTAAGAGGCATAGGATGCACGCAAACTGTTACGTTGAGGTCGGCTGGGATGGCATGTTGTTGAGTGGGACCAAAGACAAGAGATGTCCTGTTTATTTTACTTGACCCAATGTGCCACAATAATGATTTGACCATTTTCTTTTCTTTTTCTATTGTTACGATTCCAGTTTCATTAGTTCAACTATCGGCTGTATTCTAACATTTTTTATAAATGATTCCAACAGTTATTTTAAAAATGATAGTTCATGTGTATTTAATTTCGGTGTCACATTTTGATTGGCAAATGATGACCTGTACAATTCTTTTCTTTTTCTTTTGTGGTCAAACTTACAAATTCTTATAGCAATCCTATAATTCAAGTCAATGTTTATATAAATATATCTGCTCAATAATTTGCACCTTTTACGCTTATGTTTATGTGTGTCATGTTGTTTGACTCATAATTAAGGATAGCTAGTCTGTATTTTACAAGATTAAATTCCCATTTTTTACATCCGTTGAAATATTCAACTGATAATGACTAACTTGAAATAAGTATTATGAAAGAATATATAAATTTATATTGACTTTGTGATAGGATAAATACCTATATTTTAATTTCTACAGATTTTTTTTTATAAAGTTTACTATATTATCAAAACTTGATTGCATCAAATCTTGTTTGAATATCATTAAATATCTACAAAGTTTTGGTTAAAAGAAAAATAATTTGGTGTTTAGGTATCACCGAGGGCCGTCAAAAAAACAAAAAGTATCACCGAGTCTTTGTTGTGTTAAATCTCAAGTATATACTAGGATCGGTAGGATCCAACCCATGTCAAAACGCGGGTGATATTTTTTTCTTATGTTTGTTTTATCAAATCATCACAAAATGATTGCGTGTTTTCTCAAGTGTGTATCTATATTAGTTATAGATTTGATTCTTCCTCGAACTAACTAAATTATCACTGCTTGGTCAATTTGAGTTTGAGTTTCAACCTATGTTGTTAATTTAGTGGATCCTAACAGACGATTCACCTTCTAGCATTAGTCAAAAGGTATTTTAACTCGGATCAAACAAACAATGTGATATACTTTCAGACTAATTCACTATGTAGCACTAAATGCATTTCTCACGGGCTTGATATGGCATATCAAAAAAGAAAATTAGTTCAGAAATTCAATTATAGCAAATCTCTTGTTGTTAATGTGTTATGGTTCGATTAAATTAGATGATACGATGTAAATGTTTCGATAGTATATAGTCCAATAATTTAATTACTATTGGTTTCTTTACATTTAATTTATTCGGTTTGTTTCTATTGTTATGTCTAATTGGTTAGAGTTGTTGTTATTATTATTACGATATATGATATATGTCAATTTTAGTAAGACCACTTAAAACTTAAATGAAAAACTTTATCAGTAGATAAAAATATGACTTTAATTAACAAATTAGGTGCATGTTAGTATCTTCTTTCGCGAAGCGAAAGTCGCAACTCATTCAGTTCAAAAAAATTACAACTTGAACTTACACCAAGAAGGGAGCTAAACTTCATCTGAAAAACAAGTCCCAAGTTCTTTACTTTCATAACCTACTTCTACAACTTCACTGAGATCGACTTTGTCTCTCACGATGAACTATGAGATTTATTGTCGGAGATGGATTACATCCCTTAGACAAGGTCCATCAAGTGATTGAAATCGGCCCATTTGGCCAAGATGAGGTAAAGAGATAAGCCGATTTGAAGACAAAAGGATGGTATTCGACTATAAAAAGAGAACACCGAAGAGGAGGAGAGAACATTCACAAACACATACTTCTCGGTACAATTAGGGTTTACATTATTATCTTGTTCTTGCCGAGATTATCATCTTTCACATATACTCAGTATTTTCTCTTGTGATCCGTTTCATGATCAATCAATAAACGTCTTTCGAATAACTCATCATTGAATTCGTGTTCACACCCAGTACATACCGAATTCAAATTAAACACCCTTTTTGATGGGTTGGATTGTGGTGGTAACGTGAGATCTGGTGAAGTGATTCATGACTCTAGGTGAAGTGGCAGCTAGGCAATCAAAAGATAATTTTATCCTTCCTGTCACTGCATCACAACTTACAAAGTCCGAGTTGTACTTTTTAAAACTGAATGAGTTGTAATTTTCTTTGAAAATATGTCTTCAATACGTTGATGCTCGAGAAAAAGAAAAAAAAAAGTTATCTCTTCCGGCCCAGATCTAGACATCTCCGGTGGATCCAATCATGTTAGTGATCTGGTTATGGATCATCATAGCGCCTTAAGAGACAACACTGGTTTAGACTTCAATCAACTGCAGTTGTTTCTTCATGCCAAGGAATGGGAATGGTCATGAGGCAGGAGACGATCTCAAAGAAAATGTTCTTATAGTCGGTTCTGATCCAGGAAGCGACTGAGGGAATTCAGTACTTCGAGCACAATTAAATCTATCTGGTTTGTCGCAACCAGAACGGGCGCCTTGTCCACCAGCTTGCACTTGTTGATATTGAGATCCGCCCATCAGTAGTTGAAGGGCAGAATTTAGATAGGATCGAGTTGATGTAGTCGAATTTCACAAGCGTGATAGAGCTTTTAGAGGAGGTTAGCCTCTCCCTTGGTTTTACTTTTTTATTCCAAGACCCGACCAATGACCCTGGACTCTTCCTGTAGGATACCATTGCATGTATGAGTCTTAGTTTCAGAAGAACGCCAAGTTGTTGTTCAAATTTTCTTGACTAATCACATCATACTGCAATACAAGGACACCAAGTTTTAAAAACTAATTACGTTATATATATGTATATATATATATATATATAAGTTTTATATATTTTATAGATATTTATTTTTATTGTTTAAGTGAGTTTTGTAAAATAAGTAAAAGGAAAAAGTAAACTAAAATCTAAAAAGAAGTTTATTTTGAAAAAAAAATATTATTTAGTTATGATAATCCCTTATATGATAACCTGGAGCATTATAACATTTAAGTGTAGCCTTGTGTCATCACTAAGATCACTCTTAAAATCCTAAGAAAAGTATGTTAGTCTATCTAAATATAAAGTATATTTTTTATTAAATTAACTATCAAAATGATTTGTAGTGGATAAATCTTTATTCTTTCCTTAAGTAAAAGGTATTGGAATTACCTAATATGATTAATATATATATATATATATATATGATAATTAATGATTTTAAATAATAAAGATTTGATAATAGTTTTTGTATCCTCCATCAATTTTGTTTAATTTATATTATTAAAAACATAAACAATCACAGTAACCATATAGTAAAAATCTATGTTTTTTTCTTATATGTTATATTATAAAAATTTTAAAACGGCTATAAATTCCTAAAACTGTTAAAAGTGTTACAATGAAAATTTTGTGAACGGTTTTTTATTTTTTATTTTTATAAAAATATAGACATTTTCTATTTTTTAATCATATAGCATTACAACATGTTTTCGTAGCCACGTGTCATCACCAGGATGATTCTCAAAATCCTTATAAAAATAAGTTGGTCCATATAATTATATATTATATTTTTTATTAAACTAACTATCAAATTAGTTATTAGTGTACAAAAGAATATTATTTCTTTCCTTAAATAAAAGCTACAAATTACCTACTATGACTAACATATATATGACAATTAATTATTATAAATAATATTGATTTGTAACAATTTTGTATCCTTTCTCTTTTTTTGTTTAATTTTATATTATTAAAATAATTGAAAAATCACATTAAGCATATAAAAAAATTAGATTTTTCTTATATGTTATATTTAGAATTTTTTTGAAACGACTGTAAATTACTAAATATTTTATAACTCCCACATTGAAAATTTTTGATCAATGGTTTAGCTTTTTTTTTGTTCAAGTAAGATATAAATGATACATTAATAGATATTTATATTATATATATATATATATATATATAAATATATCAATATCATTAAAACTAAACTATATACTATATAAAATATATATAAGTATGTTAATTTCAAAATTTAAAGTGAAATTTTATTGAGATTTTAATATTTTAATTTTGAAATTCGTATTGGAACAATCTCACATTAAAATTTTGTGATTTATTTAAATTTTTGTTAGACCAAAATATACAAATTTTGATAAAATCATATGAGTTGGAAGTGTCAATAATAAACATAAATTAAATTTAAAATATATATATATATATATATATATATATATTATATCTATGTCAATATCAATAACGTTTAATTATATATAATATAAAGTAAACGAAATGATTGTTTTGATTTATTTACCAAAAACATGATTGTAAATTAACAAAAGGTAATGGTTTAGATTTATGTTCTTACTGTAATATATATATTTTTATGTATACAAATCAATTTTAAATAGGTAGTTTCTAATATGTTAATTGATCATGACAATCCGCGAATTACACTTTTTCAAATCAAAGTGATTTTTTAATACTCGAAGCACTATATATATATATGTTATTTCATTCAAATTAATAATTTAGTCTTGATATTAAAAAGCTTTTAATAAAATATCATGACAAGTCCAGTCCCCTCCTTTTGTGTTTGTTCGAAGAATGAGAGATTTGATCATTCGTCTAATATTTATTCCTCCATAATATCCAATGTAGCTATTACAATTTATCCGAAAAATATTTATGATTTTAGTACTTTGGGATTTGGTTATAATTTTGAACCTGACCGAAATCCGAACTAGGTCTGAAGATATCTGAAATTAGTATAGTATGCTAATATTTTATATATATATATATATATATATATATATATATCAATGTAATTTGTATATTTTATTGTATTAGCAAGATTTTTGTAGTTTTTTATTTTTATTTTGAATATCATTTAGTTAATTTAGATTGTTTATGAATAATTTAAATATATTGACAATATTGTGTCAATTTTGAGGTTTCAAAAATATTTTTTCAGACGATTTCAGATTTTGGATACAATCTGATCCAAACCGAATTCGGAAGGAACCGAAACCGATCCGATAATTGGTAAAATCTGAATAGATCTGAAAAGCATAATATCAAAATTTTGAAAATCCGAATCAATCAAATCAAAACTGACGAATCCCCGAATATCCAGACATATGATATATTAAGAGATCAACATTTGTATTCGTTATTTTACAATGGATAAAGATTATAGTGTTTCAAAATGTTAAAATCGAATAAATTTTAATATTAAAAAA